AATTTTCCATCTCATTTTTCCTTTCAGTCCTTTGGAAAGCTCTTTGTACCTCTGTCCTCAATGTGTGGTTTTAATACAACCTGAATCTCAGTTACCTGGGTGCTTTTAAAATGAACTTATTGGAACCTTACCCCAATTCTGTTTTCTGGAGTTTGAAGCCAGAAATGTGCATTTTTAGCAATCTCTCCAGGTGTTTGTTATGTACATTTAAGTGTTGAAAGTATGCTTGTGTAAGTATGCCACAAATGAATGTGTCTTGGTTCCTAGAAATTAAGGGCAAATCTTTTCATTCTTACGGTAGTTTGGAATTTTTTTTTTTAGAATGATTATTGATTTCAGAACATTCCTTATGTTTTAGCCAATTTTTCTTTTTTTAAAAAAAAAAGTTGAAATAGATTATTTTAAGTTCATTTGTTTCTCCTGTGTGAGAGAAGTAAGAGACAGATAGGGTCTTCTCTCTGCAATCCACCCCACTCTCAGGTGACCCAGATCATGGCACATGTACACACATACCTGTTGTGCTTCAGAAAGTCCTTGATACAAGGACTAGCAGTTAGCATAATAGCTATGTCACTGGACTCCCATGTAGTTGACAAGTCCCGGACCCGGTGGCTTAAACTCATGCCCGGTGCATGTGCATGTGTGCCCAAGATCTCGAGAGGAGAATTAAAGTGAAGGGATTGTGACATGGCCATTCCCCCTGGGGGGTGATTTCTTGCTTTCTGTCTCTCTGTCTTTCTGAAGGGCGCACGCACCCTATAGCGAAAACCTCTCCAAAAAAATAAATGAACAAGAGAAAGTCCTTGATACAAACCCAGGACCTTTCCCAAGTGGGTCTAATTGTATTACCACAGAGCCACCATCTCTTGAATTGTCAGAAAAGTCATGATATATTTTTCTGTTTTTGTATGCAAAAAATGCATCATGACTTTCTGACAACCCAATAGCTCCTAATTTTCTTTCAAACTTATAATTGTTTTGTGACTCTACACTGTGGAGGCAGGTTGTAAAACCACCTCAAACTGGTATAAGCACGAAAAGGAATTTAGGGGATCAAGCAGTGGAAGGGGCCAGGGTAGCCTTGGTTTCAGGCATGAAATCAGAGGCTCCATCAGAGTATTGAACATCTTATTCCGTCTTTCATCTCTGCCTTTGTCTATGTAGGTTTAATTCTCTGGAAGATCTAGCCAAGCTGTGTCAGGCACCTACGACACGAGAACCTACCAGCTAAATAACCCAAGCATCAAGAGGTCAATTCTTGCTGAATAGGCCCAGCAAAACTTTCATGCCTGACATGCATTGATTTGCCATGGATTACACACTATTTCCTGAACCAGTCACAAAGGCAAAAACGATAGACTACACCTGACAGAGAGTGCGACTTAGAGCCAGGGGTAGGGTTAAGTTGGCTTCCACCTATACCTGGAACCAAGAAGGTGGTCTCCAAAAGGAGACCTGAGTACTAGGGGAGGGACATGGATGCAGGGCAGGTACAGCCTACAGGCAGTCTTCTCAACAATGGTGGATTTTTGGTGGTTGTGGTTGCTTAGTAAGCGTGGTGTGTCCTCATCCAACTTTTGGATTGCTTTCATTCTCATGTGTGTCATCGGGAGCTACTCGTCAGAGAATGGTTTTATTATTCTTCATTCTGCTTTCCCTAGATGAGAAATGTCTACAGGAGAATTACTACGGGAGATAGAAAATCACCACATCCTCTGATTATTATGTTTTAAGGCTCCATGGAGATTGACATTTAATATCATCAACCTCTATAAAAATTCAACCAGAATGTCAACAGTGCCATTTTGGATGCTGATTACATCATCCCTGATGTTTCTAGTTAATAAAAAGGCAGAATCTCGTGTACTTAGAGCCTTCTTTTAAGACCCAAGTCCAATCAGTCCACCCACATAGTGCTGTTCTGGGCTAGCTCTTGGTTTTCACAGGAACATTCTCCTTTCCTTTCCCAAAGAGGCTCATATATGACTCATTGCATAGCCATATCCGTAGTCTAAATTTTTTTTTTTTATATTTTCCAGGTCAGTTCATCAATCTTTGATCTTTGCCAGTGTCTACCAATATTTTTTAACAACTTGTACAAAAATGGATAATAATGCTACTAAATTTGTACTTGCACCAAGGACTTGCTCCCAAAGTCTTCTGAGTCATGAAACCAAGTGACACTTAGGGCATAAAAATATGGATCAGTCTGTTCTTTTTTTTTTTTTTCTTCTTTTTTTGGAGAGGTTTTTGCTATAGGGCACGTGCGCTCGCCAGAAAGACAGAAAGACAGAGAGCGAGAAATCACCCCTCAGGGGTGATGGCCATGCTGCAATCCCTTCTCCTCCATTCTCCTCTTGGGATCTTGGGCATGCACGAACATGCACTTGGCGTGAGTTTAAGCTGCCGGGTCTAGGACTTGGACCGTGGTTGACTACGTGGGAGTCCAGCGACAGCCATTACGCTAACTGCTGGTCCCTGGATCAGTCTGTTCTGATGGCCTTCCTAATTTAAGAGACTAGGTATGGGGGCCAGCAGGTGGCATAATGGTTAAGGACGCTGGACTCTCCCACATGACCAACAGTGGCTTGAATCCCGGATCTGGCGGCTTGCCTTTTCTCACTTTCTCTCTCTCTCTTGCTCTTTCCTTCTCTGATCAAATGAAAAGTAAATAAATAAATTAAATAATTATTTTTTTTAAAAAAAGAGAGACTTTAGGCATGAATCATGTATGAATCATGAATTGATTTCTTCTTTGTCATTCCCTAGATTGTAAACACTGTATTACTTGGAAATTTATTTATTTATTTATTTATTTTTTTTTTTTTTAGTAAAATTAAGTTTTGTCAGGGCTGGTCCTGTGGCATGATGATTAAGAGAACCAGATCCCACATGGCCTCCCTGTGATTTGAATCCTGGCCTTAGTGGCTTGAAGAACATGCAAACACAACATCATTTTTTTTTGGAGAGGTTTTTGCTAGAGGGCACATGTGCTCACCAGAAAGATAGAGACAGAGAGACAGAAAGCGAGAAATCACCCCCCAGGGGAAATGGCCATGCCACAATCCCTTCTCCTCCATTCTCCTCTTGGGATCTTGGGCACGCAAGCACATGTGCCCGGTGTAAGTTTAAGCCACCGGGTCCAGGACTCGAACTGCGGCTGACTACATGGGAGTCCAGCGACAGAGCCATTACGCTAACTGCTGGTCCCTAAACACAAAATCTTGATAGGATGGAGTAATAGAGGATATGGAATTGTGGAGCGACCATGCCCCTTTGAGAGGCACTCTCTCCCTTTTGTCTCTGTCTCTCCAGATGTCTCTTGCAAGTGCACATGCTCTTTGGCAATTAAAAAAATACATATAAATAGATAATAAATCTCATCAGTCACATTGATGGTTTCTATTTAAGGAATGCTCATCTAAAGTGAGTAGATAGCAATGGCCACAACTGAAAAGGGTAAAGCTTATCAAAAATGTGGAACATCTGTCAGGCTTTTGTCTCTGTCTCTCCAGATGTCTCTTGCAAGTGCACATGCTCTTTGGCAATTAAAAAAATACATATAAATAGATAATAAATCTCATCAGTCACATTGATGGTTTCTATTTAAGGAATGCTCATCTAAAGTGAGTAGATAGCAATGGCCACAACTGAAAAGGGTAAAGCTTATCAAAAATGTGGAACATCTGTCAGGAAATGAATACACAACTGAAAAGGGTAAAGCTTATCAAAAATTTGAAACATCTGTCAATAAATGAATAAAGAAAAAGTGATATATATATATATATATATAGGGTTGTTGGAAAAGTCATGATGTATTTTTCTATGCAAAAATGTCTGATGACTTTTCTGACAACTGAATATGTATATAAATGGATATCTGTACATATTGATACAGATATACATATATATATATATATGTATATAGACATACATATAGATATCTATATGTATATCAAAATATCTCACAACAGGGACCAGCAGTTAGCGTAATGGCTATGTCGCTGGACTCCCATGTAGTCGACTGTGGTTTGTGTCCCGGACCCGTTGGCTTAAAACTCATGCTGGTCACGTGTGCGTGCAAGCCCAAGATCCCAAGAGGAGAATGGAGGAGAAGGGATTGCAACATGGCCATCCCCCCTGGGGGGTGATTTCTCGCTTTCTGTCTCTCTGTCTGTCTCTGTCTGTCTGGCGAGCGCACGTGCCCTATAGCAAAAACCACCCCCCCAAAAAAAATCTCGCAACACATGCACACACGCACAATGGAATACTATTTAAGCATAATAATAATACAAAAAGATCAAGTCCTGTCATTTGCAACAACGTGGGTAGACCTGGAGGAACTTAGGTTAGGAGAAATAAGCCACACCATCAAGAGAAATACGGCATGACCTCACTTATGTGAAACCTTTAAAAAAATTAATGTTATGTAAGTAGAATAATGGTTTCTAGGAGCTGGAAAGGGTAGGGAAGAGGAAGGGACTGGGGAGAGGCTGGTCGCTAGATAGGCAAATCACAAATATTGGGTCGTCAGATAAGTCATGACGCATTTTTGCGTAGAAAACTACATCATGACTTTTCCGATGACCCAATGGATAGAAGGGTTAAATTATGGTATTCAGTGACATTATAGAGTGATTGTATGTATCAACATTTTGTGTGTGTGTTTTAGAATAGCTAGAAGAGAGGATTTTGCTTGTTCCCAGCACAAAGAAGTGGTAAATGTTTGAGATGAGGGATGTGCTAGTTACCCTGGTTTCATCATTAAACATCATATATACGTACTGAAAAATCACACTGTATCCACAAACATACCATTATTATTCATCAGTTAAATATAACAATTTGAAACCTTATGTTTTTAATGGCATAATTAATAAGTAAAGTGCAGAGAAAAAATAATACAGATATGTACAGTACTGTGTTTTTCATGTTTGATGGGTGATCGCTGAATGCTTTTTTTTTTGTCTTTTTCTCTCTCCCCTCTCGTGATGAAACAGCCGATTCTGGTGACCAAGACGAGCACACGGTCCACGACACAGCTCTACCGCCTGTCAATAGTAGCACCATCGCTGCTCCCATCACGGACCCTTCTCAGAAGTTCCCTCAATACCTACCTCTTTCCACAGAGGATAATTTAGGTCCTCTACCTGAAAACTGGGAGATGGCCTATACCGAAAATGGCGAAGTCTATTTCATAGAGTAAAGTATACCATTATTTCCACCTGAACCTCTCTTTTCCTTTTCCTCCCTTCCCCTTCTGTCACTTCCTTCTTTCTCTTTAGCAGCTATCCGTGTAAATTCAATCTGAAAGGAGTGATCCTTCACTGATGGTATTTTCTAATAAGCTTTAAAAAGCTGTGTATAAAAAAAGGTAATTAGCCAGATCATCTGAATCATTGCGTCTGAAGAGTTTGCAGAAGCATAAGGTTATGATTTCCCTAAAGAGTGAGAAAACTACATTATGATATATACAAATTATGTATAGTATACTGGGCTGTCGGGAAAGTCATGCTGCATTTTTGCATAGAAAAAGAGAAAATACATTGCGACTTCTCTGACGATTCAATGTACAGCATGTATTAGTGGGCCCAGCAGATGTTTTAATGTTATACTGCTGGACTCCCATGTAGTTGACTGCAGTTAGAGTCCCAGACCCAGTGGCTTAAAACTCACACGAACACATGTGTGTGCGTGCCCAAGATCCTGAGAGGAGAATGGAGGAGAAGGGATTGTGGCATGGTCATCCTCTGTGGGGGGAAGGGGTTAATTTCTCACTTTCCCTCTCACTATCTCTGTCTCTCTGTCAAGCACATGTGCCCTAAGGCAAAATCCTCTTTATTTTTTTTTTTTAAAAAGAGAGAGAATATATTAGCCATTAAAAATTGTAAATCTGTTGCTTCTTTTTAAAAATTGGTTTAGAATTTTGTTGAATTTTTAAAATTCTGCATATATTCCTTTATGTGTGACTTGCAAACATCTTTTCATTGTCTTAACTAACTTTTTTTAAAGAATTATTTTATTTAACTTTATTTATTATTATTATCATTATTATTTTCCAGTTTGATCAGAGAGCCAGAGAGGGAGAGAGGGAGAGAGGAAGTGAGAAAGCAAGCCACCAGGTCCGAGACCCGAACTGTGGTCGGCCATGTGGGAGTCCAGCACCTTTAACCACCATGCCACTCGCCAGCCCTGTTGTCTTAACTAACTTTTAAAGAGTAGAAGTCTTTTAATTTTGATGAAGTCTGATTTACCAGGTTTTTTTCTCTTATGGATTGTGCTTTCACCATAATAGCTAAAAAACGTTTGCCTAATCCAGAGTCATACTTTTTGCTGTACTTATTTTTAGAAGTTTCATACTTTTATGTTTTACATTTAGATATGTGATCCATTTTAAGTTGATTTTTTTTACATTGTACATGGTATATAAATCAAAGTTAGAGAATATATAGGTGCGAAAGCCTTTCAAAACTTTAAAACTTAAGTCCTGCATGTTAAATACTTAATAAATAACCTTTGCTGAGAAGGAAAACAGTAATATCTGCAATTGAGACCATTCTGGAAAATACAAGATAATATGATTTTCCTAAGCCATAGTAGTCAGTTTTTAAAATACAGTGCTTTGACTCTATTATCTTCTCATTGGGGTTCATCATTTTTTATAGACCACTAAAAAAGAAAAAAATGGCCAATTAAACTATAAAAAGTAAAAGCACAGATCACTCCATTATACCCACATGGACTGAAATTGAAGGCCTACTGTTGAATAATGAAGGAGGACATTGCAGAAGAATACATGCAGGATCTCACTTTGGTACAATACATGCATGTGCACACATGCTGTTTATCTTCAGTGTGCACATTCGTGAATATGTGGATACAGTTTTATATTTAGAAATATCCTCAAGGTATCTGTTACTGGTTAGGTTCGAATTGAGAAAATAATTTATTTCCTAGTCACAGCGTACATCTATGGAGTTTCTTTTTATCATACTTAACATCTATTTGGTAATCAGAAAAAAAAACAACGAAGATGAGACAATGTGGTTTTCCAGATGACAAGGATGTGAGAGAAAAGGCTTGGTTCTTGGAATATCCTCTTTGAGAACCTACCCAAGAAGAAGTCTGAGATAAGAGAATGAGAGTTGTGTTGCTTTCCAATCAGAAGAAGGGGATAGCTCCTGATTCTTTCTTCTTTTTGATAAGAATTGCTTTTCAAAGACAGAGGTGGAAGACGTAGTCTTTTCCTGGGTGTCAGGGAGGTGTCGTAGAGAATATATTAGCCATTAAAAATTGTAAATCTGTTGCTTCTTTTTAAAAATTGGTTTAGAATTTTGTTGAATTTTTAAAATTCTGCATATATTCCTTTATGTGTGACTTGCAAACATCTTTTCATTGTCTTAACTAACTTTTTTTAAAGAATTATTTTATTTAACTTTATTTATTATTATTATCATTATTATTTTCCAGTTTGATCAGAGAGACAGAGAGGGAGAGAGGGAGAGAGGAAGTGAGAAAGCAAGCCACCAGGTCCGAGACCCGAACTGTGGTCGGCCATGTGGGAGTCCAGCACCTTTAACCACCATGCCACTCGCCAGCCCTGTTGTCTTAACTAACTTTTAAAGAGTAGAAGTCTTTTAATTTTGATGAAGTCTGATTTACCAGGTTTTTTTCTCTTATGGATTGTGCTTTCACCATAATAGCTAAAAAACGTTTGCCTAATCCAGAGTCATACTTTTTGCTGTACTTATTTTTAGAAGTTTCATACTTTTATGTTTTACATTTAGATATGTGATCCATTTTAAGTTGATTTTTTTTACATTGTACATGGTATATAAATCAAAGTTAGAGAATATATAGGTGCGAAAGCCTTTCAAAACTTTAAAACTTAAGTCCTGCATGTTAAATACTTAATAAATAACCTTTGCTGAGAAGGAAAACAGTAATATCTGCAATTGAGACCATTCTGGAAAATACAAGATAATATGATTTTCCTAAGCCATAGTAGTCAGTTTTTAAAATACAGTGCTTTGACTCTATTATCTTCTCATTGGGGTTCATCATTTTTTATAGACCACTAAAAAAGAAAAAAATGGCCAATTAAACTATAAAAAGTAAAAGCACAGATCACTCCATTATACCCACATGGACTGAAATTGAAGGCCTACTGTTGAATAATGAAGGAGGACATTGCAGAAGAATACATGCAGGATCTCACTTTGGTACAATACATGCATGTGCACACATGCTGTTTATCTTCAGTGTGCACATTCGTGAATATGTGGATACAGTTTTATATTTAGAAATATCCTCAAGGTATCTGTTACTGGTTAGGTTCGAATTGAGAAAATAATTTATTTCCTAGTCACAGCGTACATCTATGGAGTTTCTTTTTATCATACTTAACATCTATTTGGTAATCAGAAAAAAAAACAACGAAGATGAGACAATGTGGTTTTCCAGATGACAAGGATGTGAGAGAAAAGGCTTGGTTCTTGGAATATCCTCTTTGAGAACCTACCCAAGAAGAAGTCTGAGATAAGAGAATGAGAGTTGTGTTGCTTTCCAATCAGAAGAAGGGGATAGCTCCTGATTCTTTCTTCTTTTTGATAAGAATTGCTTTTCAAAGACAGAGGTGGAAGACGTAGTCTTTTCCTGGGTGTCAGGGAGGTGTCGTGATTAAGAGCTTACTTAAAAACTCCTGGGATCTCTAGCACTGACTAGTTGTGGGAGTTTGGGAACATACATTTACTTGTTTGCATCTTCATTTTCCCTATCTGTACAAAAAAGAACATGCGTATTATGCATTGAACCTGTATTGTCAGACTATTATGTGAGCTAGAAGAGACAGTGAATGTAAAACACTTGAACTCGTCCTCATCAGTAATCACTGTTGTTATTAGTTCTCACCATCATCTGTGGTTATTACAGAGGAGTTTAAATGTGTTCTAGAAGTAGATGTCAACTCTAAGCCTGGGATTTTGTACTTCGCTTTTGCTTTAAATTGACTTTGAAGGATGTCTGTTAGTGAGGAAGAACCGTGCAGAGAAAAGGAAAGTATGATAGAGGCATTCAGACCCGGAGTTACGTGTCATAAAACTCAAATTCTTGGAAAAGAAGTTCTAATAATTTCGCATGAGACTGACAACAAATTGGAAAGAAACAAATTAAGTATACTGATGGTTAGTGAGGTGCTAGCACCCCAAACTATGGCTAACAGGACACAGTCAGTGATTGGCCTGCTTTTCATGACTTAGCTTTTAGCTGATCGAAGACCAAGTTTGAGACCTAATGTTTAATAGAAAATTTATACAAATGTTGTGGCTTATGACAACTTTGGTTTACAGCTGCTAAGTACATCACTTATCTCTCAGCCTAAAGTATTTATCATGGGTACTGAGTTTTCAGGTGCCTTTGATTCAGAAAACTTCTTAGAATAGTAAGTTACATTTTATTTGTATCTCCTTTGTTATGCGTATATCTACTATGTATATATTAGTTCTATAGTTTGGGGAAATCTAAGAAAATATGAAAAATTAAAAAGAACATTTAAAAAGTTCTTTAAGAATTCCAATATCCAAGATTTATGTCATTGACAAATTTGAAATAAACTGGTTTGCCTTTGGCAAATGTAAGGATTAAATGAACTCTTCTTTTCCCTAATCTTTTCGGTTGGTTGGTTTGAGAGAGAGTTTTACTGCAGGGCGTGTGCATTTACCAGAGAGACAGAAAGTGAGAAATCATCCCCGCAAGGGGGATGGACACGCTGCAATCCCTTCTCTTCCACTGTTGTCTCAGGATTTGGGTACAGGTGCATGTGTGCTCAGTGTGAGTTTAAGCTGCTGAGACTGGGACTTGAACTGCAGCCGACTACATGGGAGTCCAGCGATATATCCATTATACCATGTGCTGATCCTGTGGATTAAATGAACTCTTAAGAAATGTAGATTGTATAAACAAGGAGTATCATTTGTAATTCACTTTTTCAAAAATAATACTGGATTGGATTTTATACCTTCTGTAATCGAATAATTATACCTTAAATCAGTGCACACTCTCCGTAAGGTCCTCCCAAGCCATTTTAGAATTTCAGACTCAGGTGCAATCTCTTCTGGTTTGGATTTGTTGTTGGAAAGCATTACTATTGTAGCTTTGGTCAAGGAGCAAATATTCCATAATGTGTAATTCTGCCACTTGACTTTTTCCTTTTTTTTTTTTAATGTTTTTCTTTCTGAATTACAGCCATAACACAAAAACAACATCTTGGTTAGACCCTCGGTGCCTGAACAAGCAGCAGAAGCCCCTTGAAGAGTGTGAAGATGATGGTAAGGCACTAAAACTGAGCTGAGGGCTCATTCTCATGAACAGATTTTAAAGTTAAAACAAGCTCAGTTAAGTTTTGTTTTTTTTTTTTTGGAGAGGTTTTCACTGTAGGGCGCGTGCGCTCGCCAGACAGACAGAGAGAGACATAGAGACAGAAAGCGAGAAATCACCCCCCAGGGGGGATGGTCATGCCGCAATCCCTTCTCCTCCATTCTCCTCTCGGGATCTTGGGCACGCACGCACACGCGCCCGGCGTGAGTTTTAAGCCACTGGGTCCGGGACACGAACCGCAGTCGACTACGTGGGAATCCAGCGACATAGCCATTACGCTAACTGCTGGTTCCCAAGCTCAGTTAAGTTTTAACAAGGAGTTTTTTTTTAAGGTATTCCAACTTCTAGTAAACGGGTGGTAGTTTACAAAAGCAGGAGAAATTTTGGTAGAATTCCTTCAAGAGAATAATTTGCTTATCCATAAAGGCAGGTGCGCCCTGATAAGACCATTAGAAACCGAACTTTTGTAGTCAGATGCTGTTTAAATCAAAGTACATCTTCTTCCTTCAGGATCTTAGAGAAGATGCTAGAAAGTCTCTTGGATTATAGAAACCAATGATGTTCTGGTTGTTCGCCCCTATTAGACTTTATCCCTATGTTATGAAAGTCCTAGAGGGAAAAAAACAGGAGCTTTTCTTGAAGCCTATATGGTTTGTTGTTTTTCAATTTCCCTAATCTTAACGATAGGGAAGCAGATCATGGCATGTTTGGGAATCTCAGTGTAACTTAGAATATTACCCAGACTATCTGAAAAAGTGTATTCTTCCAACAAAGAAGTCAGTGTTACTTAGAATCTCAGTCTCTGGTTAATCTTGGAAATGAACTAACTGGCTAAGTTTTTGTTGGGAAAGTTTATTCCAGGGCTTTGGGGTTTCTCATCACTTTTCCAAAACAAAAAAGCTTAAGACAGAGAAAGTACCTCTCATACATTGAGGTCTATCTCAAATTCTACAAAAAATGTTTTTTTACCTGAATGAATTAAAAGGGAAATGCTTTGTTTTAGTACTCATTGTTCAATTCAATTTAGTAGTATAATTACTGGAGACTTTTTATAAGATAGAAAAACTTTATTTGTCCTATATGGCAGAATTGTTGTATTGTGTATACGTGTGCGTGCGTGTGTGTGTTTGTGTGTGTGTGTGTGTGTGTGTACTGGAGGTTTGTTTGAAAAATGTAAGCCAGTAGTTTAAAGTACATGAATTCTTGTGCTCTAAGATCCTTCCTTTATACCTGGCTCTCAGATTACCTTAAATGAATGCAGAATTGTGTATTTGTATTTAATCTGAGCAATTTCAAGTGGAAATACAAGTCCTTCTGACATTAAGTGGTATGATGGAGATGCTCTTTTATTTTGGTTCTTTCGAACAGTACTTCTTGAGGAAGGGCTAGAATAGGTATGGTCAGCTCTGTTCTTTTACATGCTTAAGGGATAATGGACTGTTCTAATTATTTAGATCTTCTGTTTAATGTAATAGTGGTGACCAATTTTCAAAGATCAGAGCATAAAATACATTCAGCTATAAAACTTTGCAAAACAAAATTTAATTTTTGATGCCTGATTTTATTTTTTAAGGACTCATGCACTTGGCAAAGAGAAACAGAAAGAGACAGTGAGAAGGAAAGTGAGAAATCACCCCTTAGAGGAGAGTGGCCACACCACAATCCCTTTTTCTCCATTCTCCTCTCAGAATTTTGGGCACACACACACACATATGCCAAACATGATTTTCAAGTTCCTGGGTCCAGGACTCAAACCACGGTTGGCTACATAGGAGTCTAGTGCCTTAACCACTACACCACCTGCTGGACCCCAGGGCAGTGTTTCAATCTGCCTGGTTGATGATTTCAACTGGTTGTCGGGAAGAGACTTCAAATTCAATGTGATTAAAATCAGACTGATGATCTTTGCCCCCCAAATCTGGTCTTAAGTGTTCTGTATCTTAGTTGAGGGTGAATTTCTGCATACCCAAGACTCCTGGATTTGCCACTTTCTTCCACCTGTACAGCTGACCTGGGAACCAGATGAATTCATTTGGCCCTAGTGTCTCTGAGATCTACTCCTGCTTTCTTCCTCATCTGTCCTACCTGAGTCTGTGTCACATTCATCTCCCACCTGACCTCTTGCCCACTCTAATTCTTGGGCTGCACTCCGAGGAAATATTTGAAATATAAATGTGATGATGTTGTCAGGAACCACCCGGCAAACCCTCTGCACTGGCTCTCCAGTGTGCTGAGTCAGTGCTAAGTCCTCAGCTTGCTGCTCTAAGCCCTTTGTCATTCACATTTCTGGTTTTTCTCCCACTCTCACCTTCTGCCCTTCTTTCTCGCTGATCCTCATTGAGTTTGCCCCATGACAGTTCGATGCACAGGTCTCTGCTTTCACAAATAGTTACTGAAAAGCTTCTATATGTCCATGTCTTCCAGGCCCGTCACAGGTATCAACAAACACAAGAGACATAAAACCCTACTCTGGTGGAGCTTAAATTCAAGTGATTTTCTTACCCAAAGTCTTTTGTTAAATTTTGTATACCCTGCAGATGACAGTTTTGCCATGACTTCATTTCCAGATAGGATTAAGTTACTTTATTATGCATCTTATTCTAGGGAACTTGTCACAGTTTTAATTTTAGTTTTATGTGGTAAACTGTGGGATTTGTTCTCATCCAAAAGAGTAGTGATCTGCCTGGTTGTGCTCATATTGCTATCTTGTCATCCAGCAGCTGGCACGTTGTAGGTCTCAGTACGAGAAACACTCGTGGGGCTGGCAGATGGTGTGGTGGTTAAGGGCACTGGATTCCCACATGACCATCAGCAGTTCGAGTCCCGGACCTGGCAGCTTGCTTTCACACTCTCTCTCACTCTGTCCCTCTCTGGTCAAATTTAAAGAAAGAAAGAAAGAAAGAGAGGGAAGGACGTTAAATAAAATCATTCTTTAAAAAAGAAATTTAAAAAAAAAAGAGAAATGAGCAGTCATTCCCAGAAACATAATAAGATAATGTCTACATGGGCATTTTTCACAAGTTATTTTGTATAAATCAGATTCCCCTTTAAGAAGCAGTTATCAACTTATCAAGTTGCTGTTGGCAATTGTATAGTGTTTAAATCAAGAGTTTATAAGGTACATAGGGTCAAATTGGTTGCTTAAATTAATAATTGATTGATCGATTGATTCATTCATTCATCTGAGAAATGTTTTAGTTCCTAAATACATACTAGAAACTACACTGGACACTGAATTTATCGTGGTAAAAACAGGCTTACACCCTGTTTTCAAGCCTGTTTTTAAATAGGTTCAAGCCTGTTAAAGTCTCTCAAGCTACAGAGCAGGCTACTGTCCCCTCCACTGTAAGGGAACAGTTACAGTGTCTAACAGCCTGTTTGTTCCAAATAAGGTCTGTAGTATGTGACTTCCCACTTTAGAACAGTTACAGTGTCTCCTTACAGTGGAGGGGACAGTTGCCTGCTCTGTAACGTGGGAGACTTTATGAAATGATATTGTGTACTGTCCTGTGTTCTCTTTGCAATAATAAAAAAATGTTTCACTGACAGCAAGAAGAGGTTGACAATGGAAGGCATTTTGACTTGTTTCGCTGAGTGAAATTACTGAGAACATTTCCACCCTAATATTTTTTTAAAGAATTATTTATTTAATGTTATGTATTCATTCATTCATTTTCATTTGACGAGAGAGAGAGAGAGAAAGTGAGAAAGCAGACCACTAGGTCCAGGATTTGAACCACGATGGGCCTTGTGGGAGTGTCTAGCACCTTAGCCACCATGCAACCTGTGAGTCTCTCCATGCTAATATTTTTGAGCTCTCTGACTTAGAAAGTTACATAGATATAAACACAAAATTGGTTAACTCTGGCTCCCAATACCACCTCAGGACAACTTCCATACCTTGTTTCATTGAAGGGCATCTCATGACACACGTCATCTGTCCAGCTCCTTCATGAAAGGCTTCGAAGTGTAGCTTATTATGCAAACTACATTCTTGGTTTGATCTCCTCTTCCAGTTTTAGAACAGAGGTATTACTTTAAGTCAAGTTATGCTTTAATTGTGAGTGTAATTACCTCACTGATTAGAGAATTCTTAAAGGATTAAAAGGACTAATATTAAGAGGTCTAACAGCCTTGTTTGCTCCAAAATAAGGTCTGTAGTATGTGACTTCCCACTCGAGGACATTGAAACTGCAAAGATATTTGTCATCTTTTACCACCAATCAAATCCTGCTTTGAAATGCAGGGAAATGAACCATATAATTATTTTGCCAATATCAGTTCTGACTGTGTGATTTATACTGAGGTTACGAGTTTACTAGCCCAGCCAATAAAATAAGCCACAATACAGGTAAGGACAAAATGAAGTGATGTGTTTGCTGGTGTTTCTCTGAGGGGAGTTTCTCTCTTGGTGCTGGTGTCTGAATTTTTCTTTTTCTTTTCTGTCAAAAAAAAATTCCTGCTCTTCCTTTGGAGAAGAAGGGGTACACACCGAGGAGCTGGACAGTGAACTAGGTAAACCCTCCCTGCCTGCTGCTGCATGACTTACCCTGCATGGTTTTGTCCCAGCATGTTGCTGAATCCCTCTCTTTCTTTAGTTTGCACTTTTCCAATTTTGATTTTCATTCTAGCTTCTCTGCAAAAGGTCAACTTCATAGTCCTGGTGTCGTCTGACAGGCAGAGTTAGAATGCACGGTGTGGACAGAGAAAAGGCATTGAGATTAGAGTGAGAGTTCGCCGATGGGTGACAGGCAGTCTTGTAGATTGACGACTGGGAAAAAACTGCAGACAGGCTTGCGGTGTCCTTTGACCGTGAGGTAGCTTGTCTGGCCCTCATTTGTTTGTTTATTTAGGGTCGTTGATTATTTGAGCAATACAGTAAAGCAAAGCACACTAGAACCCATGATATGACTTTGAAGACTGTAGTTGCGATAAAATAATTCCAGTGGTTACTTGAATAGGTCATAAGTCTAAAGCCTTGCATTCTTATTCAGTCCTGGGCCGCATACGGATCTCACTGTAGTGAATCACCTTGCAACCAGAGGCAGCGTTTATATGGGCCATTGTCCTTAGACTGTACGTATCAGTGTGAATCAGGTTTCAGCTACTCTGGCCGTTGTAGATTAGGAATAGTTTTACATTAGCCACTCAGGCCAGACTAGTTTTTTCTTTGCCATTGAAATGCAATAAATTGTATTCCCTGCTTAGTTAAGTGCTTTATGTTCAGCTCTGAACAATATTAAAGTTAGTTTATATTCTGTCTAGTGCATTCAGTGACAAGAGACGAGAAAGCACAAGTTTTAGCTCAATTGCAGATGAAAGCCTTGGCTGACTGAAAATTGGCTATCTTTTCTTTTTTTTTTAATGTAAAAAATGGTTTAACATCAATTTGAATGGAACTATCCTGAGATTACTGAATCTGCCTAGCATTTTAAAATTGCCTTAAGACCTAAAAATATCAATATATAGAATGCAGATTAGTGCTTTCATTCTGTTTTGTTTTTGTTATATAGGTAATCAATCATGGTTGAGTAAAGTTATGATATGGTAGAATTTACTTCTGTTTTTCTTTATGTTTGGAACATACCCCTCTGTGATGGATACGTAATGCCGACAACGGTCAATAACCATTGAGGGATCTATTTTTAAAGATGTTTAAAAAGTTGTTCTTGTGGTCATTGTGGTCGAAATGATTTAAGATTCACCCTGTGTAATAGAACAATTTGAAACTAATTTTATCAAAACAGGAATTGATCAACCCAGTGACATTAGACACAAATAAGTCTCTTTCTCATTTGCAGAACCAATTGCCTCCACTCTTACTGCCTGAATAATGTGTATGGGTGACCACTCTGCTATCTGCAGGTGACCGCTGGAGATAACACAGCTTTCTGCAGGGGCATGACCTTATTTGTGCCTGTGAAAGTTCAACTCTTGAAATTTTCAGGAAAGAAGTTTTTGTATTTTTCCTCCTTGTAACTTAATGCCATGGAAACTGTCCTGTGCTGTTGAAGACTCTAAAAAATGACTTCTAATGTCTGCACAGTATCACTTCTGTGATCATGGCTGTAAGTCAGGGACACGGTTTGGTGTTGTGGAGCTGTCTCTGAGGTCAGATCAGGATGCCTGGCTCCCCTCCTTACTGGTCATGTGACCTTGGCGAGGCCACCTTCTTTTAGCTTCCCTCCTTATCTGTGAAGAGGTTAGACAGAGAAGTTTCCCATGTATTTGTGAAGAGCCTTAATGAAAATCTGTTTTAACATTTGTCCCTGTGATCCGCACATATTTTTTCTATTATAGATTGAGCATCCCTAATTTGAAAACCCGAAATCTAAAATTTGAAACTTTCTGAGTGCTGACATGACTTTTGCTTGCTTTTCTTTTCTTTTTTTTCGAGACTTTTTGCTATAGGGTGTGTGCGCTTACCAGAAAGACAGAGAGAGACAGAGAGACAGAAAGCGAGGAATCACCCTCTGGGGGGGATGGCCACGCGGCAATCCCTTCTCCTCCATTCTCCTCCCAGGATCTTGGGCACGCACGCACACATGCCTAGTGTGATTTTTTTTTTTAATTTTTTAATTTTTATTTTTTAGTATCTTTTTTTTTTTTTTAAATCAAGAACCAATGAGCTTAGATGGATACAAATGTCCCAATGGACTTTAAAGTACTTGGCCAACGTACTTGCCCCAAATGACTCCAAGTGTTCCACTCTTCTGGTTGCCCCTGAATACTTGAGGCAGGAACTTCCTAGCAGTTAAACAAGACAATAAACAGGACATATCCAAAATGTGTTTATTGGGATGGTTTCCCACTCATCTTGAGTCAGGATGCTTTTAGTGCTGCTTCCTCCTGAAGGAACATCCTTCTGTAAGCCTCACTTTTCCTCCTGTAGGCTGGCAGAGGACAGTGGAGCAGCCAACGCACAAAACTACCATTTGTGCATGGCTAAAGACTGTGGTGGTTTTATAGCATCCTGAGCACTTCACATCCATGGAGTAGGAATCTGGGCTCTGCACCAGGCGCTTCTTCTTGTGTTTCCTCTTCTCCTCTTCCAGAGAGGGATGAAGGAGGTCCTTTGTGAGAGCCATGTTCTCGTGGGGAGGTCGTCACCGCCAGAAAGTCCTAGTGTGATTTTCAAGCCACTGGGTCCAGGATTCAAACTGCTGTCAGCCATGCGGGAGTCCAGTGTAGCTGCTACGTCATCTGCTGGTCCCTATTTAATTATTTTTTTAACTTTTCTGGAGAGAAACAGCGAGGGAGAATGAGAAATTGAGAAAGCATCCCCTATGGAGGATGACCATGCTGCAATCTCTTCTCCTCCATTTCTCCTTTCTTTTTGGTTTCTAGGTGCACACACAATTGACTGGCATGTTTTTTAGGATGCTGATCTGAGACTTGAACAATGCTATAGGCCGTGCAGGAGCTGACCATCTTAAACACCACCCTACTAGCTGGCCCTCAGATAAGAGACACTCAACCTGTACCGGTTTTATTATTTATTACTTAATTCTCTCTTGTTAGACTTTTCAATACGGCCTTATGGTCTTTTTTTTTCCCATTAGCATGGAATTAGAGAGGACTGTGCCTTAGAGAACTTATACAAATGTGTTCTTCCTTTGGATAAGGTAGAGAAATGACCCTTGATTTTTACCTGCATATGTACAGAGTAGTCTACACACACACACACACACACACACACACACACAGAGTTTTCTATTACATTTGCTTCAGGTTCTATTGACAAGCTCACTGCCCATTTTCTTAATAGAAGGGTCCTAATTTCAAACAATAGCAACCTTCTGGTTTTCAGCTACAGTGCAATTCCAGATGTGACAAGGAGATACTGTGTGTAGTCTGCCTCAGAAAGGCGTGGGTGTTCAGCCTGCATGTTGGACACAGATCATTTGATTATAGAGTTGTCATTTTTGTACTGTGTTGTTTGAGCGGGGTCAGTAGCTCCACTGTGTACTCTCAGTTTGCAGAATCTATCACATCCTCTGCAGACAAACCCCCAGAATCAAAAAGCACCTACAGAACCTTCTTTCACAATTATTGGGTCTTCACGTGGTGAAATCAAGTAGGAGAGGTAGAGACAAGAAAACAAATCCCTCCCTCAATCAAAATTAAGTTATAGTTTTGAAACTTATTTCTGATTTCAAACATGATCTTCTAATCTGTACATTGACAAATCTCTTTTGAAAAGAACTTAGCATATTTGCTCAGTATTTGCTTCTGTGGTAACAAAACGGTACCCTGAGATTTTCAGAGGCAGGAATAGTGAATACTCAGGCTATATCCATCTTCCCTCTTCCTTGTATTCTCTTAGTACAACTGCCGTTGGTTGAAGTCCCCCTGTGTGCTAGGCGCTATGCTATGTGTTTTACAAGCATCTTCATTTAATCTACAATTGACCTTTAAGGGAAACCTGAAAGATGTAGATCAGAGATGTAAAGGAACTAGCCCAAGGCCACAGAGCAGTAGAGCTAACTGACAGAGCTAGAACTCAGTCCTGACCTTAGCAACACCAAAAGGGTCTCAGCTGCTTGTCCAGCTGGTCTGCTCCCTAATAGTGGTTAGACATAGTGCCATGCCTCATCAGGATTCTCCAGACTATTTAGTTTAAAAATCATAATATAATCACTTTCTGGGATTCAAATATATTCTGCCTTGTTCAGTTTTTTTAGAATCCAATGGTGAATTCTAGGACAAACATCTTCCTTTTTTTAAATTGATGACCCATTTCTATTTTAAGCATTAGGAGACTAATTCCTATTATTAAGTTAATCACCACATTGGAAATGAGAAATCTCTCTTTTCAATATAAAATGAGCTTGAAACTGGAAAATTTCTAGAGTTGGCTAATCTGCCAGAGAAGATGTGTTTAAATGGACTGATGTCCCAAAGCGCCGATTGCATGAGCCGGTTTTTGAACTGCAGAATGTTAGGACACTGACTAGGCAACAGGATGAAGGTGGGACAGCTTCTTTTTACGGACCTCCTTTGGACTTCCATCAAAGTCTGTGCCGTGTGGTTGAATTTTCTGCTTAGACAGTATCTTGCATTTATCTCTGCGTCTCTGATGTCTAATACATTCTTAGGCAATCAGTAGGCACCCAGTGAATGCTTGTCAACTTCATAATTGAGTGAGCTGGTTACGTAATGTTTCCCCTGTTTTATCTGATAATCAGATCATCAGACCAAGTATATGGGGGCTGCAGATTGTGAAAGAGGTCTGGTTCAATGCAGCATAACGTGGTCCCCATATAATCACTCTCCTGCCCATACAAATACGGGACTGTGCCCCAATTTTGCATTTTTTGAATCTCCAATTCCCCAACTCTTTGGAACTATTTTTCTGGTTCATTTTCATTTAAATGGGAAATTTCCAGCTTTGTAAGGGGAAACCATTTCTCAGTATGTGATTTGCATCAGTCCCCTAGACTTGTATAAAATGCCAAGTTGTATCAACATCTGCAGATTGGGCCTGTCTTGCATTTTGGTTAACTTATGTCTCCTGAAATTCAAAGACTTTTAAAACCTGTAAAGTTTTTGTTGTTGTTGTTGTTTTAATTATGAGAAAAGGGGAGGTAAACCTGTCTCTTTGTTTGCAAACAAGTAACATGTGGAACAAAAACCATGAAATTAATGTCTCCTGATGTGAAGCCAAATCTGAACAAAACATAAACTTCGAGTAATTAGTCTGTGTGTGTTTATGTGCACACATATGCCTGAATCTCAGTCTGGCACCGTATGTGGCATTTGTAAGCCCTCTGCCCCGATGAAATGGTCCTTATTTGAAAATAGTGACCGCATGTTTCTTTAAGTTAAAAAAAATCTATTGTTTAAAAATAAATGATACTTCAAGTGTTGGTAGTATTCCGTTCAATCTGGCCTTAATAGCTGCTGCTAGGAATAATGATTCACTTTGGAGGATGGTGTTATAGCAAGGTTGCCTTAACTACATTTACCAGGGTGGTCTTAACATTGAGTAATTGCTACTCTGCCTGAAAGGACTGTTTAATGATGTAAAATACAAGCTACTTGCTTCTTTTACCAAATAATCTGGTGCAGTGGGCCCATCCACAATGGATTCTTGTTAAAACAACTCATGGTTCACTAGTTAATGAAGTTCCAAATATTGATACGAAATTTTATGAAGTACAGTCCAATAGAACATGGTCGAGTTTTCAGAAAGGCATATACATACCACAATGCCTCTTTACAACCGTATTGAAAGGATGACAATGTTCCCCCATGGTTAGTGAGCTCTCAGCCTGCAGACCAAATATAGCATTTGAATGATAGCTGCATGCAATTCAGAAACCCAACTGCATGTGGGCATTTTTACTTACCCAGTAGCATTTTAATTAGAAACAAAGAGAAAATAAGATGGAGATTTTATTTTATTCCATGAAGAGCAAAATAGTAGGATATTATTATAAATTAAAATAAACTTTGATTTTCATCTTTTTTTAGAGAGATTTTTTTGCTTGTTTTTGTTTTTTGTTTATTTGCTTGTTTGTTTTTTACTATAGGGCGTGTGTGCTCGACAGAAAGACAGAAAGACAGAGAGAGACAGAAAGCAAGAAATTACCCCCTCTCCCCAGCAGGGGGATGGCCACGCCACAATCCCTTCTCCTCCATCCCAGGCCCTTGGGATTTGGGGCAGAAATGTACACACGCCTGGTGTGAGTTTTAAGTTGCCAGGTCTGGGACTCAAACATGGTTGACTATGTGGGAGTCCAGCAGCATAACAGGCCATCTGGTGGTCCCGATTTTCAGCTGATTTTGCTTGTGTGGTAAGGTGGTCAAGAAATAAAATGAGAAAACTATTTAAGGTAGGAACTTGGTGTTAAAAGCAAGTTTTAACTATATTTCCATTAAAACCCAATTTAAAAGTTGACTTAGAATAAAGGCTGCATTTTATTAAGTTTTATTTTCTTGATTAATATACCAGTAGGTAAAGAATTGTTTTTAATGTTAAAAGAAAGTGAACAAAATAATGCTTTTTTTTTTTTTTTGGTAAGGATACACAATTTTAATTGGATTTAAGCCATTTTTATGAGTCTTTTTCTTTTTGCCTAACTCAGTTGTTGAGAAGCCCCAGGATTTTCAAAAATATGTTATTTTTTGCTCTAAACAGTCTTTTATTTTTCAGAACTGCCTGCTGGTTGGGAAAAGATTGAAGACCCTGTCTATGGTATCTACTATGTAGAGTAAGTGCCTATCACAATCCAAATGTTAGCTTGTATCCCTGTATAATTATGTCCATTTTTGCTAAACAGAACTTGCCATCCTTTTAAGGTACAAACTAAGTAATAATTATTATTATTATTTACTTTGTAATGAAAATAACACTTAAGGGGCCAGTAGGTGGTTTGGTGGTTAACATGCTGGATTCTCACATGGTTGACCACAGTTTAAGTCTCAGACCTGGTAGCTTGCTTTCTCACTTTCTCTTTCTCTCTCTCTCTCTCTCTCTTTCTGTCTCTTTCTAGTGAGTACACATGCCCTATATCCAATTGAAAAAGAAAATAATAATAAATGAAATGAAAGAATGTTTTAATAAAAGAGAAAATACACTTATGTATACTTTAAGGAATAACAAATTTTCGACAGATCTGAAGGTCATAAATCATTTTATTAAATTCACGAGAACACAGTTCACACCTTTTACTTACAGCCTATCAGCAAGGCCCAACGTGGTCCTGGCATATGCAAGAACTTCAGAAGTATTAGTTGAATGAATGATAGATAGTGGTTGTCTTCTTCAGGAGGACCTCTGTGACCTATTCTTTCCCCTGTCCAGGTCTCTTATTAGTATTTATTTATTCAGACGTTCTGAAAGACAGCGAATTCTTAATCCTTTATGACAGGCTGCAAGGATTGAGAAGATAAGAGAGGACCTATCTTTGGGTCCAGCACCTCAGTGTCTCTCTGCCCTCCCACCCCACCGAGGAGTGTACGTGGAACTCCTGTTTCCCGTTGTCCAAGGTGTCAAACCCTCCTCAAGCCCTCTTTGCTGTGTACCTTATTCCAGCGTCGGGCACACACTTTGTCTTTTCCGAGAACCATTGATGGCTAAGATGATTCCCAAAGGAAGTAGAGGAGAGCCAAGAGATAGGACACAGACGAAAGAGTCTCTCATTTCCTCTGAAAAAGATGAGCGATAACTAATAAAAGCTTCTTTGAAAGAAACGAAAGCCGTGTAAGTGTTGTGTAATCGTAACCTTCCCTGCCCCAGTGAAGATAACTGGCATGCTTTCTCTTCGTCACACTGCTGATGATGAAAAGTCATTTGCATAACACCCTGGCGAGAGGAACCTCTGATGCAAAATGCCAGGCTGTAACATGCTCAGTGTCTTACTGTAAAAAATTATGAGTTCAATATTGCAAGTGTCCTTGGCCAATACTAACACTGCCTCCTCTTTATCTAACAAGGAGGATTGGCAATTTGGGGCATCAGAGAGGCAAGCTCAGCTGTCGTAAAATAAATTTCCTTTGTGTGCCTACAAGATCATCATCTTACTCACAGGTGTCCTCTGGGGTTTTTCTATCAGGGGCTCACTTTGCCCTGGCCCTCAACTATAATAATTTGGACACTAAGAAAAGGAAGAAATGACAACCGCTCTGGTGGGTAAAGAGACTTGGTTTGAGGGCAGAGTTGTTTTCTTATTATTCACTTTTCCTCCCTGTGTTTTATCAGATCCACATGCCTGTTAATGGTGGGCTTTTTTAAAATAAAAAAGCTTTTAATATTGGGTCGTTGGGAAAGTCATGACACATTTTTGCGTAGAAAAATACATGATTTTGCCAATAACCTAATAGTTAGGAAGTAAACTAGGAGGCCTTTAATAGAACGATCGATCTCTTGGGCAAGGCACTGGACTCCCACAGGGTCGACTGTGATTTGAGTCCCAGACCCAGCAGCTTGAAACGCATGCTGGATGCATGTGTGTGCATGTCCAAAATCCAGAGAGGAAAGTGGAGAAGGGATTGTGGCATGGCTCGCTCCCCAGGGAGGTGATTTCTCACTTTCTGTCTCTCTCTCACTCTGGTTAGTGCACATGCTCTATAGTCAAAATCTCTTGAAAATAAGTAAGTCTTGGCTTTTAAAAATAGTGAGTTCTAAATAATCACGTAATAGGTATACCCCTAAACTTCTAATGAACTATTACCTTGAATTTAAAAAAATATAAATATGTGCACATAATAATCAATATGTTTATGCTCATATGATGTTTCTATAATGTGTGTGTGTATATTGCACATATGAATGGTATAAATTTAGATGTATATACATATATACATATATGTATATATGTTTATGTGTGTGTATACACACAAACATCATATATAGAGATACGTACATATACACCCCTGCATACATTCACATACATGCTGATGCAATAAACAAAGCCATGGTAAAAAATATATATGTATATGTACTCGTGTGTGTGTGTGTGTTTGTGTGTGTGTGTGTGTGTGTATGCATTTTTTTCTTTGCTATGAACTTACTAATTTTGTGGCCATCTGAAGTGTCTCCGTCTTTATCACTCTGAGCACATCACATCTCCTTATGTTAGCTATATTTAGAGCCTCTGTGCCTAAGGCCTATACTTTTAATCTTGCCTCCACATCCACTGATCAGAATAGTTGACAGATGTCAGTGAGGTCCTTTTAACTTCTTTGTTTGGGCATATGCTTACGCTTCTGTGAAGCCGACTATAGAAAGTTACACAGGAGTTCTGATGTTGTATGTTACAGACAATGTCACATATCCACTTTAATCTCATTTTTCAGTAATTTCATGAGCTACTTCTTATTGAATTAAAACAACTTCCCCCGGCAGGTGATACCATGGTCCTTTGGGTAAATCAGAGATTAAAATCCTGGGACTTGAAAGCAGACAGACCAGAGCTTGTTGCCTGTTTACTGCTTACTAGCTATGTTACATTAGGTGAGGAATTACTTAACTATCCAGAAATACAGTTTCTTTACCCATAAAAGAGGAATTAAAATAGGACCTACCTCCTGGTATTACCAAGGACTTTAAGATAAAATGTGTGTAAAACTAGCAGCACGACCTTGGTGCATACAAGCAATCGGTACTGGAAGCGTTGCATTTTTCCCCTCTTCCTAACTGCACTTGTTGACACAAAGTTGTCCATAGCTCAGACCACCTGCCTTGCCCAGTTCTAATCAAGAGACGTGGCCTGATGAGCATTTTGCCATTGAGATCAGATGCTTCCTCGCTGAACATGTTTATCTTCTTCCCCAGCCACATCAACAGGAAGACACAATATGAGAACCCAGTTCTAGAAGCCAAACGGAAGAAGCAGCTTGAACAGCAGCAGCAACAGCAGCAGCCCCAGCCCCAGCCGCAACAGCAACAGCAGCAGCCGCAGGAAGGTTGGCCTCTTCCCTCCAGGCTTCCTCTTGAGCTGCGGAAATGGGGCAAAGCCTGGACGCTGACACCCCCGTGTGGTCAGAACTGGCCTCAGTGGTCAAGTTGTTCCCCCTTGCCGAGGAGTCCATGTCCTGGGGGGAAGGAATAAGATTGTGCTAACGTCCCCTTTTCTCCCCATCCCACTGCGCAGTTAAAATGGGGGTCCCAATTCAAAGGCACCCGAATCTCTACTTACATGGAAAGGAGCACCTTTACGCTGGGAGCCTTCTCATGTGAAAGAATTCTCTTGCTTTAGCAACACGTGTGTCACAACTGTTGTAGAAATCCCACTGCAGGGCCAGCAGTTAGCGTAATGGCTATGTCGCTGGACTCCCATGTAGTCAACCGCGGTTTGCATCCCAGACCCATTGGCTTAAAACTCACACTGGGCACATATGCGAGCTTGCCCAAGATCCCGAGAGGAGAATGGAGGAGAAGGAATTGTGGCATGGCCATCCCCCTAAGGGGATGATTCCTCGCTTTCTGTCTCTCTGGCTCTGTCTCTGTCTGGCGAGTGCACGTACCCTATTGCAAAAACCTCTTCAAAAAAAAAAAAGGAAGACAGAGAGATCCCACGCTGGGAGCATTTTTCCTTTAGTGGCATTACTGGGCGTGAAACTAACTTTTTAGTTTAGCAACATTGCATGTAAGAATCAGAAAGAACTGGTACTTTGGAGTGCTTTGTTAAAAAGTTATGTATTAACTCATGACCTGTGTAGAAATATGAACAGTTCAGAAGCCTAATATGTTCATTCTCCCCTGCTAACCCCATCTCATCTCGTTCTATCATCCCTGTGCAGAAATTTTCTAGGGATATTCAAATATGCATGTTTTCACGAAAGTCAGGTGATGTTTTTACAAAGTGCAGTTTGGGGATGGGTGTGTACAGTTGAATATGTTAGCCAAGCTGGAAAGTGACTCTGGGTACACCTCTAGGGTCACTTACTGTGAGTTATTTCCAGTCCTCCACAGTGACTAAGACTTCAGTTGGAACCCAGGAGGATTGGCAATAGGTCCCATTTGGATTTCAGAGATGACAGAAGACAGCACCTCAGCCAACTGCTGAAATTCACCTGCGGCCACCCCGCCACCTAAGACCAGCAGGTGTCAGCAGCCAGGCCCACGTCTCTGTCACAATAGAGAAGTTTCTCCCTTCCAGGGCTGCTTTAGTTGACTCTGTGTCTATCTTGATGTGTTTTACTTGATCTCACTTTGAACTCTGCAAACAGAGGGAACTGGAGCTTTTATTGGTTATGTCACAAAATTTCTATCCCCAGTGTCTTAGAAGAGAGAGACATTTCGGTATCTTTAACGAAGAGTGAGGTCAGGTATCAATTTCTTTTCATCTACACTGTCTGCCCTTAGTTTTATTTGTTTGGGTATTAAGAAGGTGAATCATATCTAACCATTTGAAAGAAAAACGGGACAATGCTTCTCTTCTTTCTTGTAGAATGGACAGAAGATCACTCATCCCTCGTGCCTCCTATAATTCCAAACCACCCCGCAAGCAATCCTGAGCCGGCCAGAGAAGCTCCACTTCAGGGTAACGTCTTTTATAATCGCATCATGATTTTAGCTCAGCACTCTCATTTTTAAAATAAAGGTATTTCATCAAGTAGCATCTTGTAACTCCCAGGTTGTTATTTCCTTTGGTAGTGAAAACCATAAATAATGAAAGGAATTGTAAATATTTTGTTAAACAGCCTTCTCAAAAAATTAGAAACTTTTTGGAATACATTTTTTTTCAACTATTTATAATGCTCTAAAAGTAATGACTTCCTGGAGCTAGCCATTGGTGTGGTGGTTAGGGAAGTGTTTACTGCTTGGTCGACAGCACTGGACCCAGCGACATGAAAAACACACCGAGCACGTGTGAGCATGCCCAGCATTCCAAAAGGAGGGAGAGATGGAGGATGGGGGAGAAGGGACTGCTGTGTGACCATACCCCATAGAGACTGCTTTCTTACTTTCCTTCTTCAGTGAAAGCACTCGCCCTCTATCAGATTAAAATGTTAAATGAGCAAACAAACAAAATCAGCTATTTGCTAAATGATCATTTAAACCAGTGTTTCTCAACGTCAGCATGGTTGACAGTTTCGGCTAAGTAATTCATTGTGTGGGCTCATTCCGAGCATTGTGGACTATTTTGCCACATCCCTGTCCTTCATCTGTGAGATGCCAGATTCACATACCCCCTCCTTTTACCCCTGTTGTGACAATAAAAATGTCTCCAGACATTCTCAAATATCCCTAAGGGCAAAACCATCCCAGAATTGGGAATCACTGATTTACTTTGGCTTAATGAGTATTTAATACTATGTTAAATAAGATAAATTCAAAACTCATTATTAGATATTTAAAGACTATCATCAACATACTTGTTTTTGACCAAGATTTTCCTGTAAGTCTAAGTGGTTTGATAATATTATGTGTTAAATTCTCATTTCTTATCCTTGCCATCATTTTGGCATTTATGCATATTTTACACTTCAGTGGATCGCACTTATTTACATTCACAAATTGTATGAGCTCCTTTGAGAGTTTCATTCTTAAAAATTGGAAACTCCAGAATCTTGGTGCTTTCATTACTTTCAATGATAAAAAAGGACTTTGTGGGTTTTTGTTTGTTTGTTTCATTTTAAATAAGAAAAATAGGACAGGCATCAAGTTTGAAAAGAGTTGGGGGAATGTTTGTGGTACAGAACCATTTAAAATAACTGCAACATTAATCTTCCTCTTCACATTTTCAAAGAGACATAACTATGTTAGTTATAAAAAGAGCAGAATAATTCTTTTTTCTAATTTCAATTCCTCCATTATAGTTTTCATAAATTGTTTTTCTGCTAACTGACATTGTTGGGAGATTAGTATTAATGTCAGTTTACGTAAAATAATTTTTTCTAGAATGGATACACATTCTAAAAAACATTTTTTTAAGAGATTTAAGAGGTGCGCTCACCAGAGAGAGTCAGAGGCAGTGAAAGGCAAAGTGAGAACCCCCCCCCCCGAAAGATGGTCATGCCACAATCCCTTCTCCATTCTCCTTCCAGGGATCTTGGGACACACATGTGCTTGGCGTGATTTTCAAGCCACCAGGTCTGGGACTCGAATCATGGTTGTCCATATGGGAATCCAGCAACATAACAGCTCACCATCTGCTGGTCCCATGGATACACTTTTTTATAGTGACAATAGCTTTAATAAAGAAAGAACATAGTAGATAATTACGTCCATTAATATCAACATGATTGTGACCTCCTCGATTTGTTTTCTTTTTTTATTTTTCCCACTGATTTGCTAGATAGCACATGTACTCACCAAGAGAAGAGACAGAGGAAAAGAGAGGGAATGGAGAAAGCACCTGCCAATGGGCCATGGTCACTCACAATCCTTTCTACTCCATTTCTCCATCTTGCCAAGATTTGGAGCACACACACACACACACACACACACACACACACACACGCACGCCCAGTTGTTTTTCATACTACCAAAGCTAGGATTTGATCTGTAAGTCAGCTATGTGGGGTCTGGCTCCCTGAACCACTAGGACGCAGAGCCAGACCACCTAAGTATTTTTTAAATCTAAAATTCCTTCTGCAAGTTCCTGTCGTCTCACCACCACTTGCCTCCTAGTCCATGAGCCACAGCAGCCTCTTTTCAGTTCCATGAACTGGTGAAACCGTGGCCCTCTTGTGTGCCTTTGCATAGGCTCTTCCCTCTGTTTGCTGTTGTTTTTTCCCCATGCTTTGCTTTGCTAAGTCTTGCTCCTCTCGGGTCCTTGCTGGATCCCCTGTCATGTTTTCTTGTAACCCTTGCACTTCCCATGCAAAGACTTCAACAGTTACAACCAGTGTCCATTTGTGTTCCGTTATTTCATAGGGCTTCCTCACTAAACTCTAAATCCCATGGAGGTGGGAGACTTTGGTTTTCTTGTACTTGTACCCCAAACCAGGCATCATCCCTG